GTCGTGACATTTATGCCAATACGTTGACGTGCGTGAATCATTCCGTGGTCGTACAGTTAGGAATCATTTGGGACAAAACTAACGTCAGCGTTGCATCTAAATTACTATATTGTATTCGGTAGTCGACCCCGGCAGTCAAAAACTTCATGCATACAATGGCGACAAAAGTGAACGTAAAATAATTCTGGTTTCTTGAAATGAGTCGCGCATGTACTCCCCAATGTGTAATTCCATTGTTTTCCCAGGCTTACTTTCACAGGCGAGCGTACGCTTTCTTTCTATGATCTCGAGTTGGACGCCATGCATACAGTACTTCGCATAATTACACCCCCTTCTCGATTTTACTTTTGATAAGTATCATTCAAGTATACTTACCTTAATTAAATATGACGCGCAATAACAAAATAAATGTGACGAAACAATATTTATTAACATTTCCTAAAACTGCGACAGAATGGCGACGGCAATTATCAATCTATTTGTTGAAAAGGTACTGTAAAATAGTTTATTTCATTCAACATGGGTTGGGGCGTAGTCGTTGGCTTTTAAAGTTGGACATCGCGTCACAGTGTCAATCCCCAAACGTAATCCTGGGTCTCATGACCTCAGCTGGAATTAAAACAACTCTACCCGTTGTAACTTCGCATAAAAAAAAACAATCACCAGGCACTGGCATTTTGTCTATAACAGTGATGATCTTTGTCTGAATTTACAGCCAAGACAAAGTTAGCGCTGCGACAAGAAGTAACACCTGCCTCTTTCACTCAGCACACGAGCGCTATTTCCATATATTGGGTACGTTGGCAAAGAAAAAAAATTCCGGAAGGAGCAAGTTTAAACCTCAGACTAGTAATATGAGTTTAAACACAACATAAAAGCAGTCTCACAGTGAATACTAGTAATTATATTGCGCGAGTACGGTTACTAAAAACCGTGGCGCGAGTGAAGAAGGCTGATGTTCTATTTATTTCAAACACGCGTGGCCAGCGTCTTTGATTGCGTTTATTTTTACCTTGCCTGTACCATCAAAGATGGAAGGGAAAGGTATATTAAGGGAAAAATTTTGTCCGCCATTGTCGTTGTTGTCGTCGTCGTCGTTAATAATTGTAATTGTGTGCATAATAATTTTACTAATTCTATTCCAAACTTTATCAAACTTGGGCACCTTATTCATCAGTATAAAGTCTTCCCTGAGTTTGAACAACAGATGTCCTGTATGAAAATATCATGCAAAAATTGAGAAAATCTGATAAAATATTTTGACTGTTTCTACTTGACTGATCACTGGTGATACACATCAAAGGTCACTGATCTCAGTGGAAATATGCATTGTTGTATGTGTTCAATGAAGCAAATGATTTATCTTGTAATAATATCCTTGGTAATGTATCTCAGAATCCCATACTGGGTTTCAAAACCAACTCATGGAGAGATTGCACAGCCTGATACACATTTGCAAACCTACCAATAAAATCTTTACAGAAAACAAGATGTCAGAAAATCAATATAAGCACTCCTATGAACTGGGTGCCTAACTTTGATCAGGATCTGAAGCTAATAGAAAATCTGGTTAGTTCAAAGTTATCAAATCAAAAACAATACATAAAAAATACATTAAAAGCAAAACATTTCATCCACATTTTAAAAAGAAAATTATTCTAAAATATATGTATTCTGTATTTGACAAACAGTTCATTCGACAAATGAAAACTCACAGGAATATGTTTCAGCCATTAGAACAGAATGATAGTTTTTATAATACTAGTTTAAAAACGCACTTCAGAGATTGCAGTGTTTGAAGATGTAGATTCTCAGGAGGCAACAGTACTGTTGACTTCTCCCTCCACTGGACACCAACTATTTAAGTTGATTTGCATACAAAGCAGAGCTTGCAACATGATAGCTATTCATAAAGAGTGTTTTTTTTTTTACTTTTCATATAATACAGTAGTCACACAATGAGGCAGTTCATATTTGTCTCAGTGAATCATTCATTTTTGACAGACACCTGTACAAAATACTTGGACTAAAGCCAGCTAAATTTTTCTGTTATCTTGCATGTTCTATGAATCTATTCACATTTAAATGCAGCACTTTTTTTTGCAATGAGACATTTGTTTTTATTCTAAAATATCTCAATTACTTTCAATAAAGCTGGAAATTAAGCCCCTTAAAATAATTAAACAAATAAGGCACCAATGTTTTTGTAAGATATTTACATCTTTTAAGGACATTCAGTAGACTGATTCCCCACTGTTGGTTCAACTCCAAAACTTGTTTGTATTCAAAATTAATTATGACAATGCATTTTTATATTGAATTATATTATATAACAAAGGGCAAGGTCACCAGAGTTCAACTATGTTCAACTTTGGTGCCTTAACTACATCTAACTCGGTGCATATGGAAATCTTGTGCAACGAGATTGGTTTTTTGATGAGTTTTGTTGACCAATCAGAGAGCGGCTTACAAGAAACATCTGTGTGACGTAGCACATGTGTCATGTAGAATGTGTTTTTATTAGCTGGCTGCTAATTGAGATTTGCGAAAGGATCTCCATATGCATTGAGTCAGATGTAGATAAGGCAACCAAGATAAAAACAATAGAACCTAAATCTATATCTGATTTTAATAAGATTAGGGTAAAAAGTAATTTTGGTCTAAAAAATAGTGCTGAAAATGATTTTTTTTTTCACTTTTCTCAGATTTGCATTGACCAATTTTATTTAAGCTTGGAATATATATTCAGTATCAGGGGACACAGCTTAAAATGCACAATGTTTTGTGGGTTATGCACAATTTACAGAATATTTTTGGGGTGAAAAATAGGACTGAATGACTGATTTTTTCTTTTTTCAATTTCTCATTTAAAATTTGAATATACATTGTATTATGAGACATGGCATCAACACACATAGTTTTATGGTTCAAGTACATTTAGGGGATTACAAATGGTCATTTTTAATCGAAAAATAGGTCTGAAAATTATATTTATATAATTATATTTAAGACACTGTTCAAAAAGACGTAGTTTTGTGGTTCAAGCACATCTTAAGGAGTATCTTTGTGTTGAGAAACTGGCTTGTGCTAGTTGAAAAAAAAATTATCCAAACACTTTGCACATGAAAGGGGCTATGACACATTATGTCTTTTTTGAATGTATATTTATTTATTTTATATTTATTTTATATCTTTGTCCTGTTTGTACTATTTTTTTTTTAATATTTTTATATTTTACTTGAAGGTTCATTAACGTTCCTGTCTTCGCCCAGTTTGATTTTTTCTGTTTTTTATTTACATCTTTGTGATCATTTGGACCTAAAAACCTCGCATTGTGCAAATAAATAAAAGTGTTCAATGCTGACAAATAATTTTACCAGTCTTGTATATTTGTGTACCTGGTAGTTCCAGATGGGTCAATGATCATCTGTCTGATTCTAGTGTTTTCTCAATAGTCAAGTAGTCAAGACATGAAGGTTGAAACAGATTAGCATTAAATTTGGTACAATACTTGGCGCCCCCCTTTCTTTGCTCATCTACCTAGCACTAAGCAAAAACTGCTGTGGTTACTACTTTTTAGAGTTCACTATTAAAATTGTATCTATCCACAATGCAAGGCTATACCTGGTTCATTGATATGGGGGGGTATGATGTCGGCGATTGTTGACATCCATGACAAGTTTTCAGATCTCAACTTGTCAAGTTCAACAGTAACATTTCATTGATGGGGGGGGGGGGGGCTGTGAATCTAGATGATTGTCGAGATCCATGACAAGTTTTGAAATCTCAACTTGTCAAGTTCAACTGTAACATTTCACTGACAATTTCCTTATTATAGGTCCAAAGTTTTTCCCATTGCACAATTTTACAAAAATCTTAACATCTACGCTTAAAATGTTTATCAAAATCAATTTTTAGAATAAATATTTGATTTTAGAGCTGCTGTTAAAGTGGTTTCATAAATTCCATGACTAATTTACATAAACGCTAATTTGAATTTGAAAATTTAAAAATTTCATAACAAATCATCCATATGTTCTTTGTTTTTTGTGAAATGTTTCTCGACCTGTTAATATCTAAACTAATTTTTCGCTTGGATATTTAAACAACAGTTATATATGTGTGAGAATTATGTTATAATTCAACTGAACATTACTGTGTACACTATAATATGGAGTCTGGTAAAGCACGATAATGACCATTACATTCAAACAAATGTATAATAATATGTATTTGCGTACGTATGTGCGTTCATGATATAACACAATGGGAAACCGTCTTGTCATATATGTGTCTAAACATATCCTACAAGACATGGTTTAAATTTTTCGAATACAGGTCAAGTATTAAGGTCGTCATATATGTTGATGTATTTTTAGTATAACAATTAAAGTAGAAAAATAGCTTGTTTATTCAAATGTGCTACATGTGGATCGCAGAATGCAGTTTGATTCCAAGGTCAATGTCACGTAGACACCAAACACGTTACCGTCAATTCTATGCAACCATAATTTAGTGCTCATGTTGCATGATATTAAAAAAATCCTGGCCAGTTTATCATCACCACCTATGATGCAAGTTATTTGATTTGACATTGTTCAATGGCTGTAGAATATGGAGCATCAGTGCTGTAATAATCTGCCTGATTTTCAAAAATATTAACATAACATTTATTTTTACCTCGTCTCCGTATCTGAAATCGTTAAAGCATTATGTTGCATGCGTGTCATTTGATGTTGTGAACAAATTGTTCTGGTTTGCAATAGATTATATTGTCATTCTTTATTAACTTAAATTGTGGGCATTTTC